GTATTTTTATCGGTATTCAGGAATTACGGAGTTTCATAGCTATTTGACGGGTGCGTAATATATTTTTGCTTCTTGCAAACTCGTAAACGAAGAAGTTCTAAACGCGAAGAAATCATGCGACACGACAGGGGTAACAAGTAAAATGAGAAAATCGCTCCGAAAACCGGACGAGCAGCGAGAAACGAATTCCGAAGAATTTAGGAATCGAGATATCGGATTAAGCACTGTTTCCCCGGATATTACAAGGGAAGAAATCTCATATGAGGGCCGGGAGTATTCTCAGACTGCTTCCAGTTATATAATAAAAGGAATAAAAAGTCGAAAGTGCTATTGGGAACACCGTCTGCTATATATATATATATATACTATACGGAGAGCGGTAAAAGTAGCTGAATCGTCGGTAAAGGAAGAACCATTGTTCGAAAACCAAGAAAGAACCCGCGTAGATACTTCTGCTCCAAATCATTCAGAAATGACTGACTAACAGATTCGCGAGTACTTTTGTCCTTAATTCCGCGAAAAAATTACACGCGGCTGGACCGCGAATGCCGAGATACGCGCGCCGATAAAATGCGAATTTCGAGAAGATTACTCAAAGTGAAATATTCCAAGCATTAAACGCTTCGATATATTATATACATATATATATTTCACGTTTAAAATTACGCGTGTACCGTCAACAACCCGTAATTTTCCCAGAATGCGCAGGATGCATAATTTCGACGGAACATAAACAAACATGATCGCTATATAGAGATAAAAAGGGGTTCTCAAACGAGAAAAAACATTTCAGTTGAGACTATATTTTGCGCTCGCCGTATCGATTTATCGAAACTGATAATGGACAGACTTCGTAACTTCGTGAATGTATAAAATTATATAAAAGTCCCTGAAAAATTATGAAATGCGGACTCCCGGTGACATTTAAACTCTTGCTTTATCATGCCGAGCCGTACTCGCGGTGAACATGTCGAAGAAAATCCGGTAACTACTAATGTTATTCTGGTATGATCTAAAATAGATAGGCGCCAGTCCGCTCGAACAGCTTCAAACATGGTCAAACGGCCTAAGAAGCATCCGCGCATCGCGTGCACTCCATGCGTTTCTTTGCTTCCAAACATTCAACGTTACGAATACACTTGATACAATTTATTATACGTGCATCGAACGACTGGTACTATCAAAAGCGTACGCAGTCACACCTCGAAGTAGCTGTCAATTAATTCACCAACATCAAACAAGATCGATCTATGTGCATCGAGCAACATCGGCCACGTCAAACATTTGTACCAAGTCTCTCTAATTGACGCACAGATTGCACATATAATTTAGGGAGAAGAGAGACGATTATTCGATCCTTGCGGCTCATTTTTATAGTCACGAATTGTCAACAACTATAAAAACGAGCTGCAAGGCTCGAATTCGGAAGATTTCTCTTCCCAAATTGTCCATTCTTGTGGACAATCCGAGTTAGGGAGACATTACTGTATGTTGCTCATCGATACATACCTATTAGAAGCAGATAATCGTCATCTCCTGCAATATTAACAACTAGAACGAATTTCTGAGCATCGAAGCCGCGAAGAAGATCGTCGAGCAAGAAAACGTCGCGTCATTTCGGTAGCTTTACATTGGCAAAATGCATCGTACAGTTTGACAGACAGTTCGAAACGCAATTCCGGTTGAAAACGACCAATTCTCATTTCGCCGGTGAAATCTCGGCGTGGAATCGATCGCGAATTTTTCGCGAGGTACCGTAAAGCAGAAATATGTAATACCGGAGCCGGCAGGAAGTTCCATTTGTAAGGGATTCGAATGCTTCCGCGAAGAGGCGGGCCGGCGAACGATTTCTATGGGGCGCCGTAAAGAATACGAATTCTTCGGAGTTCATTAACTTCTCGCGAAAGCGTGACACAAGGTTGGATAGGACGGAATTGTCTCTCGCGAGTTCTCGGTAATAAACGCGTCGAATATTCGCGCGCGCGAAACGGCGACGACGTTGCGTATCTTCCGGCGACGGCACGCGCGCAATAAATTTTTCCGCGAGCGCTTTGCTGCCGCGGCTTATTTCGCAAACACGCCGACTTTATATTTCCCCCGTTTCGATTGGCCGAGCGTGCATTTACATCCGGCCGTTCCGCGCAAACATTAATTTGCGGCCACCGAGATGCTGCCGCGCGATGCGGCGGTCCAGTTTTATCCCGCGATTTTTAATTCGAAATTACGCGCGACCGCGGTCTTCGGCCTTCGGCGGCGGATATTCAAGGAACTTTATTGAAACGTGGTGTTTCCACGGCTTCGCGAAATGAAAGTGAAAACGCTGCGGCTGGAACAGACCGCCGGAACATGAAATATCCGACGTGCACGGCGTGTTTTTCAAGAGAACGATCATGTAACCCGCGCGACTCCGTCTCCGTGGATTTCGTTGATTTTCCCGGAGACTCTTGACGTTCAATGAATACCTCTTGTACATTTTTCATGACCCGTGTCCCTCTTTACCAGCTCCGCGAGAGACTTCCGAGTCGCTTTACCGAAGCGATTTCGATATTTCAACCGGATTAATTAATACTTCTCTTCCGCCTGATATATTGTTATCTCCTACGTATCATAAATTAAATACGATCGTTCCGAAACCTTTTACCTGTATGAATTATTCTCGAATATTCTGCAATTCTGTCAGTGCAAAGATTATTTGAAATTGTTGAAATTATGAAGACGATGTCGTAGGAATTATATATTTATTTTCGAACGTTTTCGTACAATTCGACAAATTTATTTTCGAGTTTCACTTTATAATTGTGACGATGTCTGTGAAACTACAATTCCGAGCAGCATTCATAATCGCCATAATCGGACCAATCGCAAAATAAAACCGTAAAAATATCGTCGAAGAAAAATATAATAATAAATATAATAACGATTGGATTGTGAATTTTGCGAATGTATTGCAAACATCGGCGGAACGAATGGAAAACGGTAAAAACATTTTTAAAAAATGTAATAACACGGTTGCAATATTTCTGGCTCGGAAGATTGTTGAAAAAGAGAAGGCATCTTGCAATTAATGCGGTGCGCACAGAAATCCGCAGTCTGACGGTAACATTAAAATGCTCGGAGCGTTGCAGACAGGAAAATCAGTTCTGTTCGGTACTCGCTACACGATGGATATTATAATCAGAGCCAAACAACGACCAGAACGTAAACACGATTATGAGAATCATTTTAAACGCTCTTTGTGTCTCGCGCACCGCTACCGGCGATATTCGGAAAAATTAAAAATGAAAATTCTCTGCTCGGAATACGGAATCTCCATCGATCGTTCGGCATTCGGAAATAAATTTACAATGTATGCGAGCAACGACTCGATTAATTATACGAAAAAAACCCGATCGAATAGAAACGTTTGGGGGAGCTATCAAATTAATCGTGAAACTCGCGAATGCTTAATATGCAAATGCGTCGATTATTCTTCTGTCATTCGACCGCTTTGTTTTCCGCGAGACAATGTCTTGCAATTAGCAAAATGAAATTTTCCCACCGAACTCTCTACGTTCATCAAAACATGAAATTTTAATATTCATCGCTTCATTTCGTTGCGTTAAATATACCGCGATTCTTTGTCGATGTGTGTCTGGCTATCGATCGCTCTATCTACTAACTGGAAACGCTCGCTATAGCGTAAGCTCGTTCCTTTTTCATTTTCTAGACAACGATTTCCATCGCGTCCCTTTAAAACGAAATGTTACAGTCCATTGTTAAATCAAAGTCGATCTTTGTCAGACAAGTCGATCAACGTCCGCAAAATGCTCGAACACTTTCCTAATCTATGACCGACCGTAAATACAATAACAGCTCGAATGCACGTTGAAAAGCTACGTGTTTGTTATAAAACCGTCGACGCACGAAGATACGATAACGTTTGCTTCTACTCTTAATCCCTCTCTTTGCAATATCGTTCCAAGCTCTCAGATTGGAACGTACTGCTTTATTATGCTCGGCGCTCTGCATACGCAACCGTGGAAAACAGAATACTCCGTGTTGCTGCTCGAAGTCTCGAGTAATTAGATTGCTGCTAAAATGTGTCGCTCTACGACGAAGAACCGAAAGTGTCATCATCGACGTCCAAAATCCGTGACGCGTCTCGGGCATCGGTTATCCGACAAGGAATCGACAAACTTTCCACCTTCCGCGATTTTGCTTAATTACATCTCCGAGAAGCTTCGCGCCGAAGTTTCGTACGAAACCGTCGACACATCGAGAAATGTCTGGCCCTAGACAGTGTCTCCGTGGACCAATCGCCGAGGCTAGATCATGCGTCGACCGCATTGTGCACGATTTTTTCCGACGAATCCTCCCAAAATCGCTGCAAATCGTCCGAAATTTACGAACAACGTTTCGCGAAAGTTTCAGCCGAGATGTTAAAATCGACGTACTCGCGACACAACGAACCGTCGCAGATAAACGGTCGACCATAACCGAACAGGAGCCCCTTCGACCGCGAGATCGAACAAACAAGATATTTACGCGGAATGTTTTACGAAGCGTCGAAGCCGTCCGAATACGTCTAACGCGATCGGCAGCCTCTTTATCACGCGAGCACCCAAGTGACGCGTTGCTTCCGCAGCCGCAGATGCAGCGGCAAATTCCTCGGACCGCATTTTTCCGACCACCCTATAAACGAGAATTTTTGCCCACGGTTCGCATCGCACGGCGATCTCTCCGCTCATTTCCCAGTTATAAATTTCCGCACATGTGCGCGCGTTCTTGCCGCATCGGTCTCCCCGCCCGCGGAGAGCCGTCGTCTCGCTCCTTAAAAATTTCTGCCGGTGTTCGCAACAACACAAGCCAGCGAAAAACCGTGCAACTCGGGCGAAACTGGCGGGGGTCGCGACCCGTTTCCACGGGTGCCGGCGAATCGCGAGCATCGTGCGAACCGCGAGCAATCTCTCCGTTCGAGTGTTTCGCACGTTCCGCAACGCGGTTTCCCGTCTCTGACTCACCTTCGACGGCGTGCAGGATGTGCAGCGCGGCTAAGACCATCAGCAGGATGTTCGCAGGCGTCCCCCTATTCCTGCGGTGTCCCAGTCCGTCGGCCATCCTTGAAGAGTCGTGTCGTCGTACGGCGAACGGAAAACCGCGGTATCTCAACAGCTCACGCACCACATTCGTCGCACCACTGTACCGTGGACGATCTATCTCTGCGCGCACAGAGATAGATCCAGATAGACAGACAGATAGACGGACAGACAGAGAGAGAAAGAGAGAGAAAGACAGAGGCGACGGTGAGAATCGCGGAGACCTCCGGCGGGTATCTTCACTCGCGGTCAAACACACTCACAGAGTCCCGGCGCGGCGCGCGTAGCACAAAACAATACTTGCGGGTGCGTCGGCGACGGGGAACGTGGGCCGGATGCGCCCGTGTCGGAGGATCCCCGCTATCCAGAGAGTTCGGATGTCGCGGCGGCGACGTCGGTTCACCGAGAGTCACTAGGCGGTCGCTAGAGGTGCCGCGACGGCGATCATTGGTCCCGAGGTTCTCCGGCCCGAGTCTGGGGAGATCGGTCTACCGAGCATCCGATTCCGGAGAGGTTTGCACGGGACTCGAGGGGGCGGAAAGACGCCGGCTGGCCCGGAAGGAGATACTCTCGTTTCGAGTGTACAAGCGCGGCGAGTGTTACCCGGTCGGGTTGCTAAAAGCGTGTCAGCGGAGCGCAAGGAAGAAGAAGCGAGCGACGACGACGACGGCGACGACGACGACGACGACGACGAGGAGGAGCACGTGCACGCTCGATAAACGGCGGGCTACTGTGCGGAGCGACGCTGCCGAGAGGGTGTAAGAACGAGAGAAATAGAAGGGGGACGGAGAGTCACCTGGAAGCAGCGGGGAGGAAGAGAGAGAGAGAGAGAGGAAGGGAGAGGGAGAGAGAGAGAGAGAACGAGCGAGCGAGAGAAGGACGTCGAGTCGGGTGTTCAGGGCGTCGACAAGTGCGAGAGACAGGACCGCCGGAATTTCGGGCCGATGATCGAGCGTGTTATCCTTCCTGAAGGTTGCGCTCGGACGGGGACCCCTGTTGTCGCGCGCACCACCGCGCACCGGGACGAGACAGGCTGTGGATCGGATCGGTCCCGATCGGCTCGGATCGGATCGGTGTCAATGGCGTGGTGCGTGCGTTCGCCAGAGAAACGCGCTCGTCTCGATTACTGACCCAGAGAACAGGAGAGCGAGAGAGCCCGCGAGAGACCGACGCTGGCTGTGCCGGAGACCAGGCGGCACGGACGCGATACGACCGTTTCGTACGCTTACCCGAAACTAAGCGATTCGTGGCGAACGCCGCGGCGCGCACCTGTCGTTCCGCGGGTCGCTGCGCATGTCCCTACGAAGGAACCCGACTGCCTGCAACGGTAGCTCGTCCGTCCGGGGTGGGCGCAGATGGGAGAACCGAGCCAGTCTCTGCATGAACGCGGAAAGGTGGTGGAAAGTCCTGAACATGGAATTAAGATTTTCCGTGTGACCTGAACCCCTGCCACGACGCCACGGCGCATCGCTCGTCGCAGCTCAACATATCCCTCCCTCCCCTCGTACCATTCCTCTCTCTCTCTCCCTCTCTCCCTCTGTCTCTCCCTTTTCTCAATCCTCCTGTCCCTCGTCCCCTCCCCGTCCCGCAATCTACCCCGCCGACGCGAAATTTTACCCGCTTATCGCGGCCGCGAATTTTTCCATTCACCCGATGGACCAAGATTTCGCGGATTTGAACGGGTCGCTTCAATCGCGCGGAACCGCCACCCTCGAGATCGCTGATGACGCGGGGGTGGCGCGCCGTTCTAACACGGTCCTGAAATTTTTGGCTTCCGCGCTCGCTAGACGTGGACTTTTTTTACCGGTATTGCTGCTTGCTCGGGGGAACGTGGTTTCGGTGTTAAGAGGGAGGGGGGGCTTCTTTATTTGTCGCGTTATTGTTGGTCTTTGTTAATCCCTGTTGTTTAGATGCCGCGGGAATGTTGAAACGGGGACGAGGATCGAGGATTCGGTGGGCGAGAGACGAGTGGAGAGATCGAAATATGATTTGAGGAGACGAGACGGGAGGGGAAGATAAAGATGCGCGTAACTAAGGGTAACAAAGGAAGTCTAATCAAGCTTAGGAACAGTTAGAGAAGTAGGAGAAATGGACAGAGTAATATAATAAATTGGAAACAGAGTGAGAGCGCGAATGAGATGGTTTTTATGAAAAGTAGAACAGCGCAAACGAAAGTCCAATTCGTTGTCGATGTTAAATAAAACATTTCTTATAATGTCCATTAATTTGTATCGTGTTTCATTGTATTAATGCATTTTTTATGAAACCCATTTCGTACATTTCTGACCAAATGAATTGTATTCTCTATGTATAATTAATTTAAGCATCCGCAGGGTATACTTTCATTTTCATTTTGAACGGTCCGCACGTTCGAAAGTAACAGTTAAATGGAATTTTTAATTTAATCGCCCGATTGCTGTAATTCGAAATGAAATTAAAATATGTAGAATTTTGTTCCAACGTATTTCATCGTCGTATGAAAGGCACGATGTGCAGAGGCAGAATGAAATCTCGCCGGAGAGAAGAACGGAGGAAGCGATGTCCGGGTACAAGGCCGGAATGATCTCTTTTTTACCTCGTATAAATGATCGAAAATGACCACGGTAACGTAGAACTCCTTTTTAAATGAGTGTCATTTTTTGGCATTAATTTCCAACGTGAAATAATATTTGCTTTTGCACTTTTTATCATCGAAGTATCGATCATCGTTTCCGCTTTCGTTGTCCTTTTTTATTTGCCGAACAACTTTTTGACACTGTTTCCAGAAAGTTCTCCGATTTTTAATTAAAAAACTTTTACCTCAATTAGAGTTTTTATTTTCGTCCATGTCGTATATTGTTAGAGGAGCCGATTTTTCGTGTATCGCTGTATGCTATTTCAATATTTGAGGTTTTCAATATTATTACTATTGTGGTTTGTATAGTTAAACATATATATACTATGAATACGCTAAAACATATAACTAGTTTATGGTATTGTTAGCTTAAGTGCAATATTGATTTATGGAAACTAAAGCGTTCACACATAATTGATTAAATAAACAAATCGATCAAATAGTTTACCTCGCGACACGCGCAATGATAAACTAAACAGTTAAACATAGTTAAAATTTGCTGTCGACTTTGATTGAAATGTTTATTGTTATCGAAATATAATATAAATAATATAATATAATATTATTATATATAATATATAATATAATATTATTACTATATATAATATATAATATAATTAATATATATAATATATAATATAATATTATAGTCCTCGTAAAAAGTAGGTGAACGAAACAGAATATCTTTTTGTATATCTCGAAAGGTTTATTAAAACTTCCCTAGAAGTGTCGCGTTTATTGAATCGGCGCTCGGCTACAGCAAGCAGAAACATTGCGAGCTGCGGAACAACGAAAACGAAGATTTTCAGTAGAGCACAAACGCTTATCGAACTCGGCGTTCACGAAGTTGAAATTCGTTTTCATTAACCTCCCGGACTCCTTTGTATCATTTGTCAAACGGTTGTACGAAAACTTTTGATTTAAAACAAGCGAGCGACCGAGCTTCGCGGAATGAGCATCTGCACGTAATGCTTTCATTCATCAGTACTGTTATCTCAAAGCAAACGAACTGAAAATGCTGCTAAACAAGCGAACTAGGACGAATAGAGTTCGTAGAAACCAGAATCTCTGGGAAAGAAATCGATCTCATCGAATAAAAAATTACTCGATCGCTAATCGATAGCGTAGCAATTGTATAACTTTAGCAAATGCTACTAAATTTATAATTAACTCATTACGCTACAACTGATATGCATAACTATAATAAGAGTATAATTTTGCTTTTACGAGTTTTACGACGTTTACGACACTTCTCATAAATTTCAATAATTCATCGTACTGCACGTGTTACACACTGTAACAGACGACGATATTAAACACAGTGACAACAATATTAAATGGCTGCCAGCGATATTAAAGTAATCATACAAAACTCTACTTATTTGTATACATACATATATTTTCATTCGTATGTATCATTAGTTTTCCAACTCGTTTTCATAGCCGCGACGCAGCTCAGTAATTAAAACCATAAAATTACGTAGTGGCGCGCTCACAAAGTATCACAATTACGAAATGATTGTGTTTCCCTACACAATGTGATAAATAAAGCGAACAGAACTAACAACTGTTTGCGGAATGAAAATTCATGCTTGATAATATAATTAATGAGTTATGCGTGAACGTTTGGCCTTTTTTAGCCTCTGAAAAGTAACTTAAACGGTAAAGCTATTTAATTAGATTCATTGAATATATCTAGGTGCTTCGATATAGCAACTTTGAAAGTATGTTTAGCCGTTAATATTGGTATATGCTGGGGTCAGTAATCCCAACATTGCAGTTTTTATTTCATTTTGCAGTAAAAGTTTCATTTTCCCCGTTTTCGTCGTTTCCTACACCAACTACAAATAAGATGCGTTGGATCGTTTATCTATAATTAGGCTAACGCACTTTTAGCCAGTTGGCTATTTTTGACGAGTATACTCGTCGTATAGAAATGCCATAATTAGTGCTATGACGAGTACATTCTTAATGAATTGCAATTTTAATGAAAACTAAGATATTCACGTAAATTTAAAAATAAAAAAATATAAATAATTATTATAAGAAAACTGTATTATACAGTGTCTGAATTAGGTGGTCTTCACGCTTGCTTTCTTCGACATGGTTTCAAAGAGACCGCAACAGCTAATCGGTCAATAGACATTCGCAAATGAACCTAATTACGCGCTTTTGCGCTGCCAACAATTAATTACATTCCGGTTGCGTGTGCAAACCAAGCAAACAATTCGACTAGCTCCGCACAGAAGTCCATAAAAAGTGGTTTCAACGTTTCTCCGCAGTTTAATAAAACGGTGCAGCTAATGGAAGACACCATCAACGTAGGGACCACCCTAAGGACTTGATTGCGCTGCGAAACGAATGGTGTTTTGCAGAGCAGAGCCGGGTATACTAATGCCGAAAATCTGTGCATCGGAACGATCGTTTGCGGCGAATCACGGGCGGCGTTGATTGCCGATACAACTTTCATATTATTCGTCCGCTCCAGTTTCGCATCGGTCGAATTCCAACGGCCGCTGTTTCATTAACTTAATCGACCGTCGATCCGACAGTTCGCAGTTCACCTTTTTTTTGCGATCTGCCGGAATTCGATCCGCGGAACGTCGTTTCCTCGACGTTCCGAAAACTTCCGAACACTTCGCGGCGCTTTTCGAACAGCAGTCCGACAGCAGAATGTTTCGCGAAGACGGCGAATTAGACTTTTTTTCACGCGTGCGCATGTGCTAGAAATATCGCGACACCTGCATCGACGGCGATCGATGCATCGTCAACGCTTCGATCGGCATGGAAGCAACTTGAACGATTTTACAAAATCAGAGCGTGTTGTTCGATCGAATTTAAATTGCAAAGCGAAGTTCGAATGTTCGATAATGAATTATCTGCGACACGTGTACACGTGTTCGCTGGCTCGTGCGGCAACTTCGCTCGCGATGCATCGCAGCGAGCGAATTTCGCGGAGTACACGGAATCGGTGCAGCAGGCGTAGCGATGCAAGAATCGTCGTACGAACGCTTCCGTAACGAACAATTTAATATCGGTATCCGCCGTACGAGCATCGCGATACACGCACGTATCGCCGTGTGAAAGAGTTCTTGGGGAACAGCCGAGCGCCTCGTCGGATCTCCCCTTTCTGCTCGGACACCTGTTTCCTATCGAGTCACGACGCGTGACTTCTCTTCCTTCCAGAAAAAGGAATCCGGCTCGGGGCATCGTGCCATTACCGAAGAGATTTCGTCGCGCATGTGACCGAACGTGCAACTGTTCGCCGGCCCGCGAGGAAATCATTAACACGGATGACTTACGCTTATTCGAACCCTTTATCTCGCGCGTCTTTTTCACGCGTTCGGCTCGTTGGGAACGCTGAGTCGAGCGCTATCGCTCACGCGTGTCCATCGAAATTATAGCGGAATCGCTGGTTCGTCCTAACGGAGGATGGTTTCACACGCGACCAGGAAAAAACGCCGCTCGACCCGATAAGCATCGTTCGCACACGGAATTAAATAGAAAGTAAAATAGCGGCAACAGCTCTTCGAATCATTTCATTAGCGCACAAACGTTACCGTTAGCGTGTGGAGGCTCTTTAATTTCTATTATCCTTGGGACCGACGATATTCTATCGAATATATTATGTTCCGCGCGTCATGTTCGAGAGGAACGACGGTATAAATA